TAGGCAATCTCCAGAAGGAGGATAGATGGCAGAATGGTGCAATTAGTGGGTCTGGAGGAAAAGATTGTTTGAGGCCCTTGACCATATTGTCAAAATAATGACTTAGAGAAAGGTGCAGGCTGGGTGGTTGTAGAGGAGGGTAATCCTCTTCTGGGGGCTTTGTAGACCTGTTGCAGATGGTACTAAAATGGTGGCTAAGGACTGTGAAGCCATGTCAGTGTCGCTGAGAGTAGCCTACAGGGAAGCTTTAGCAGTCAACTGAGCCTCTGAAATGAGGGCTGGAAATTGTTCCTTTTGGTCTTGTGGCAGTTGTTCTAGAAAATGAGCAAACTTTGAATAGTTGTTAAAAATCATATTTTACCATCAAGGTCTGGTAGTTCGTGATTTGAAATTGATGAGCAGCTGACAAACAGCTTTTCCTACTCAGGAAATCTAGGTGTTTAAACACCTTCTCAGAAGGAGAGAATCTGGAGCGGGCTTGACAATCATTGACCATGTCTACAACCAAAGAGTTGGGGGGCAATGAGTTAAGAAATACTCCATTCCCTTGACTGGAATGTAATATTTTTATCCGACTCTTTTAAGTAGATGGGATAGTGTCATAGATTACATGCTAGTGATGACAGTGCTTCATTGATGGGAAGGGATATCTTACTCTGGGGGGATGATATGTAAAATGTCCACCTGGGAATGTTGAGGCTCTTGTACATCCTCCAATGGAATCTGGAGGGATTCTGCTAACCACTTCATTAAGTCCTGGAAGGCCCTAAAGTCATCTGCATAAGAAGGAGATGGCAGCAGCAGCATCGTTGCCTTGTCAGGGATAAGGAAGACTTGGGTGAAGGGGGTAACCCTTCATTTGGTGGCTCTCGCTCCTCGTGAGTCTCCTCGGGTACCAGGGAAATATTCAGTACTGGTGGGCTATTTTGCAGTGCCAGTGGCTGTTGCAGTACTGGCAGGCGTTCCTGTTGTTGTTTCTTGTAGGCTGGTACCCTGTAAGATTGGGTGCCATAACCTACCCAGGCGTTCCAGTAGTCCCACTGTAGAGGTGGATAGGGGAAGGATCCCCACAGGTATTTGTGCTCAGGGAACCTAGGGCATCTGCTGGGCTCTAGGAAGTCTTCCTCAGGGTATGTCTCTAGAGGCGTGGTGTGGTAAGTGTTGAGATAGAGCCCTGTATGAAAACCTCCGAGTCTGAGGATGTCATCTTCCGAGTTGAATAGTGAGTCTTTGGGCATCGGTGCTGGTACTGGAGGCAGTGAATCAAGTCTTGTTCTTGCGAGTAAGGGTTCAGTAATCAACTGATGAAGTGGCAATGGGGAAGAGTCTCTTATAGTGCCGTTTAGGAGAGGGTACTGCAGTTCATCTGAGATGGGATCCTTGGGAGAAAGAAATCTGGAGGGCATTGGAGGGCTATGATAACGAGCAGTAGGAGCCTGATGCGGTACCGGGGCCTGAAATGGGGATGATTGCAGGGCTAGAGATGCATGTGGTAGTGGATGAGGTGATGTCTCAGTGCTTAGAGTGGTTATGTCAAGAGGAAGATGGTACTGAGAGATCCAGCAGGTGGTCTGAATGGTCTCTCTGGCTCCAAGAGGATGTCTGTACCAGTGCCCTTGAAGTGGTCTTCTTAAGAGTCTCTGGTCTTAGATGAATCTCACTGCCTAGAGGTGTCAGATGGTACAGAGGAAGGTGCCTCTTGGTGCTGCTTCATTGATGATTTCTCCAATTGAGATGACATCTAGGCGGTACCAAAATCTTGGTACTAGAGTCAGCTGGAGTCTAGGCTGTACCCATTAGTCTGCTCTAAGAGGTGACTTACTCCTCTTTCGAGAGTCTTTGGTGGGGAAAAAGGAGTTTTCTTCTCTTAGTGGCCTTCATCTCTGAAACTGCCCCCGAGCACTGGAAGTCACTGGTACGGCCTGAGAGGTTTAGCCCGATGTACTGGGCAGGGAGAGGGAATCAGACCCCATGGGAGATGAGGAGCATTCCATTAGGAAGAGCTTGAGTCTAGCCTCTCTATCCTTGTGGGACCTGCCCTTAAACTCCGGGTAGACTTTGCGTTTGGATAGGATATGAGATTCTCCAAGGCTGGAGTGCTTGTTGCTATGAGGAAAAGATTTGTGGGCAGGTTTGATAGGGCTTGTACCTTGAGGCCTTAGGCATAGTCCAGGGAAGTGTCATAGACCACAAAGCCTGCAAGGTCAAGAAATTTAGGAAGGGGGAAACCCCCCAAGCACAAAATTGTGTTACAACTAAGAAAAATTAACAGAACTAGAAAAAATAATAAAATAAATAGCAAATAAGTAAGAAAGGTGAAAAATCAGCTAGGAAGCAGCATTCTTCAATTGCTCTATTTTGAGCCTCAGGTTGCTGAGAAGGAGTTGGAGCAGCGGTGATCTTCATAGAGATATTGTTATGATATGATTATGGCATAGCTATGAGGTATGTAAGATATCATTGAAAAGGTTATGATTCACTCAATATGATTGTCCTATTTGTATGCATGTATCATTTTGGTATCTGAAGTTAGGAATATTGTCTGTGCATCTATTACAATTGTGTTTACTCCTGGAGAACGCCCACTAGGCAGAATGTAATCAATCTAGATAGCTGGCTGGGAAGGGCCATTAGGGAGAACAATAGGTTTTAGAAGAAGCTAATCTCCCACTGGGAAGCCTTCCTGAGGACGCTACAAACAGCCTCTGAGTTATGGCTGCTGTGACCCTACAGGGACATGTGACCAAGTCACGTGGCGCTGGTCTCCATCTTGGAATACCAGTGTTTTTCCACTGAAAGGCGTGGGAACTAAGCTTGGAGACAATGGGTTTCCGCCATATGCAAAAGCTATTTAAGGCAGGGGAGTGACATCATCGTGGTGGTTCACTGACTCCCTGCCCAAAGAGACTCCTGAAAACACCTGAGAAAGGAGGACTGAACTGGGGGGAAGGGCTGAACCGAGGCTAGAGGGATTTATGAAAGGAATACATGGGGTTTTAAGCTGCAAGCAAGTGCAGCTTGCTCTTTAAGAATGTCAGCAACTGCCTTAAATCATCATTTAGAGTGAGAATTTGAAACTCTCATATTCAATCCCTTTAGTATATTAAGCTTAGATTGCGTTTTTGTTTATTTGCTAGGTAATCTGCTTTGATCTGTTTGCTATCCCTTATAATCACTTAAAATCTATCTTTTGTAGTTAATAAACTTGTTTTTTTTGTCTAAAACCAGAGTGGAATTCATAACTTGGGGCAGAAAGCTGTGAATATTCCTCTCAAGACTGAGGGAGGGGGTGAATTTCATGAGCTTATGCTGTACAGTTCCCTGTGCAGCACAAGACAGTATAATTTGTGGTTTACCTTCCAGAGGGGGTGTGCACCTGAGAAGCTGGTCAATGCCCTAGCTGTATAGCCTTCCCATGCAGGGGCTGGTCAGAAAGCCTGTCTGCATGTTACTACAGCTGGGTGTGTCCCTACCTGTGTGCTGGTGAAAGTGTGAGACTGGGAGCATGTCTGCAGCTTGTCACAGCATTATAGGGTGAGTGGGAGCCCAGTCTGCTGGGTTGGGGGGCTCAGTGGTACCCCAGTTCCAGGCGGCACCCCATGGGGAACCCGTCACCCCCCCAGCACAAAATTGTGCTACAAGAAAAATTAACAAAACTAGAAAAAAATAATAAATAATCATTGAAGCAAATAAGTAAGAAAGGTGAAAAAGCATCTAGGAAGCAGCATTCTGCAGTTGCTCTATTTTGAGCCTCAAGTGGTTGAGAAGGAGAAGGAGTTGGAGTGGTGGTGAGTCTGCACCTAGCTATATGCCCTTGCCTGGGAGCACTAGGTGCTGCACTGTGCAGGCATAGTCCTGTGGATGCTGCTATTTACAATTTCCATTGGAGAGGTCACAGGCAAGTGTACAGCCTACGGTTGAGCACCCACACGATCACCTGCTCAAAGAAGACTTTAAGAGTATTTGAGCTGGAGTGATGAAAGGGCTCTCAGTTCTTTAAAGATTAAGACACTATGCAACTGAGTTCTGCTGGTGTGTGAGACTTTTTTTTATCTTTAACTCTTTGCTCTTGTAATGACTTTAATGTGTCTTGAGCATCTTTCCTCTCTCCAGCTCATAGCCCTCAAATTCTCTCCTCTTGCAGGGCTTACTTTCCATGGGCTAAGTGACACACATCCCTCTCCTGGGAAGTTCCTGACAAATTTCTGCTACTATTGAGTTCCTCTCTGTACAAATAGATTGGTTTCTAGCTAAGCCAGTTAAGTGTTTCATCAAGTAAAATTTTATGCACTTAATATTTTAACCACCAAGGTTGTAATTACATAATACTATTATTCTTTTTAAAAGAAGAATAATTTTATAGCATCTTTCTTTATGAAGATTCTTTGGTTTGGCAAGTTTTTCAAAGGTGACCTAACAAAAAAGCACTGGGTTTATGCTTTTTGTTTGCTTTATGATGTGTTGAGGATCTGATTTCTCCCTCTGCCTTTCCCTCTCACTTCCCTGCACACCGTTTTATTTTGGGATGGATTTTTTTGCTTGGTTTTTACATTAGAATTGTCATGTCTTGCCTTCCTGTTTATTCAAGAGGACTCCTTTGGATTAGGAAATTAAAGGAGTGGGAGCTTTCTTAGGACATAGCTGGAGGATCTGGGATATTGAATATATCGGAGACCTTTTCTTCCAGGAGTTTGACTCAAATGGATGTTAACAGAAATAAAATATAGTTTTCAAATAGTCCGACATAAAATGTCTTCCCCTTCAGTTGCTCAGGTTTCATTCTTTATTGTTTTGTGATGTCATAATTCTGCACGTACTCTAGATTTCCAAGAAGTTGTCTGTTGGGAATAGACTGATATTTCAAGACTCTCACATCATAAAGCAGCTTAAAAAAAAAGACAACTTTTTTCCTTTTGGTTGGTCCTTTTCTTTCTTTCTAAGTAGCTAATTTCTTCAGCTATCATCCAAGAATACTCAGTGTTTTCATTTTCTTTACATAGGATTTAAAGGATGAAAAGAAAAAAGCTAGAATGGCGGCAGCTAGGGCTGTTCTTGAGAAATGCACCATGATGCTTCTCACTGCTTCAAAGGTAAGACTTCGCGTACTTTCCTCAGGGTTGGGGAACCACAGATTATAGGAGCTGGCAGAATAAGGTAACCCTGTTTCCACAGCTAAGTTATAAAGATTGCAACAAAAGAAATTTGAATGTAAAATGATGTTGGGGAGAGGCTTTTCCATGAGTAATGCTAAAAATGTTGCCATGTGCAATAGTACGTTAATTGAAGGAATTTGTAATAACATTACACATTTTTGCTTTAGGCTGGGTATAGAAATGAGTATTTGTTTCATTATACCACACGTGGACTTTTGGGTAATATGTTAAATTTATTTTTAAAGACATGTCTGAGGCATCCTGACTGTGAATCTGCTCGTTTAAACAAAGAAGGAGTGTTTCACCGAATGAGATTAGCTTTGGAGCAGGTAATAGAGATCGTAACTGACTCTAGACCCAGTGGAGAGAATGAAATGGCCTCCATAAGTATATATACGAGCATCAAAGAATTCAAGGTAAGGATAAAGACAGCATTATTATTCTGTGGCTTAAAAGAATTTGATTACAACATAAATTTCAAAAATACATATGTACAGTAGGAAACTAATTTCTCTGCACCTTGAATGAGTGGCAGTTTCCAATATCAGGCCTTGCACAGAGCTCCCAGAAGTTCATTATAGTTTGAAAAAAGATGGTTATGGCTTGTCCGATGCTGCTATTGTACATCATCTGCTAATATTCCAACCACTTCTAACACTCAGGGGAGTAGATCAAAATGTATTCAGATCTATATGCTATGTTGAAGTGCTGCTCTCAACTCACACTCTTAGGCGGCCCAGATAGTAGGGTATGTCTACACTCACTAACCCCAGGCTCTGACACAGGTTTAAGGCCAAGCCCCGCTTCTGTCAACATTGAAATCATTCACTCAGACCCACAGACCCTGCTGGCAGAGGGGAGGTGTGTGTCAGAGCCTCAGTCCCCCTTGAAATGATTCAAAGCCTCAGGCATTGCTACGTGGCTGCTAGGTCAAGTCCAGGTTGCCACATTCAGGTTTGGAGAGTCCAACAATGATATCCCCCAGTTCTCTGCAGCTGTGTTTCCTAGCCCTTCAATCCCAAAGCTTTCCACTCACTTCCCAGGAACTGAAAGCAACCTCCTGGTTCAAATGCAGCTGTTTGGCATTTAACCCTTCACTTCCACATGGACGGCTCCACTGGAAACACAATCAATGCCGGCATGTATTTGAATGGCCAGCAGTAAGATCAAGTCCTGCATCAAGCGCATTGCTAGCTGGCCAGAGAAACAGAGCTGGATTCTAGTTAAACTCTGGTGCAAGGTGGGCAAAACGCAGGGCCGGCTCTGGCTTTTTTGCCGCTCCCCCTCTCCCCCCCCCCGCGCGGGGAGGGTGCCGGGAGCGCTGGGGGGAGGGCGGCGAGCCCGCTGCGGCTCCACTGGCGGCCTGAGCGCCGGGAGGAGGGCGGAGAGCCCAGCTGGGGCTCCGCTCTCCCCGGCAGCCAGAGCGCCGGGGGGAAGGGCGGCAAGCCTGCCGCGGCTCCACTCTCCCCGGCGGCCAGAGCACCGGGGGGAGAGCGGCGAGCCCGGCCGGGGCTCCGCTCTCCGCGGCGGCCAGAGCGCCGGGAGGAGGGCGGCGAGCCCGGACGGGGCTCCACTCTCCCCGGCGGCCAGAGCGCCGGGGGGAGGGCGGAGAGCCCGCTGCGGCTCCGATCTCCCCAGCGGCTGGAGCGCCGCCGGGAGGGCGGTGAGCCCAGTCGCAGCCCCGCTCTCGGGCCGGAGCGCCGCGCCGCCCCCCTCCAGGTGCCGCCCCAAGCACATGCTTGGTGGGCTGGTGCCTGGAGCCGGCCCTGGCAAAACGTTCAACTTCATCAAGAGCACAAGAAATGATCATGTCTACGAAACTGTATCCAAGCGGATGGCAGTGTTGGAGATCAGTTGGACAGCAGAACAGTGTAGAGAGTGAATAAAGCAGCAAGTCAGCGATGTTAACGTCCCATTCCAGGACCTTCCTACAGCTACTGAGTGTATAGCTGAACCTTCTTTTGCTAGGTCCTTTGAAATAAGGATATGGTTTCATAAGCCATGGCAACAGGTAAGTGGGATCTCCTAGAATAACAGTAGGGACAGTGACTCCATTTATCAGAATGTCATTCAATGGGAATAATGTCCCAGCTTCTCCATGATGGTAAAGTCTTGATCTCTGGAACACGCTGGCATCATGCACCCTGCCAGTGTGTCCGACATTAATGTCCAGGAATCTGCCCCTGTGGTTGACCAGGGCCTGCATAACGATGGAGTAGTACCTTTGTGGCTTATGTACTCATGCTTCCAGTGTATAATTTATAGGCATGAGTCCCTGCATGGTGCGGCGCAGATTGGAAAACTCATTCACTGAAAGCCAGCAATTATTTCAGGAACATTTTCTAATGCCCATCAACTTCGGGTACAATCTCTGCTCAGAAACCTCTGCCACAACAACCCTCACAATTGATTTGCGAGTTCCAAACTGTAGCAGTCTGGGGTAGCCAGCATACATGGCTATAGTGATCTCTGTTTGGACCAGCATGACCTCCGTTATATGGGTGTCCTGGTGCTGGAAGATAGGGAAGGCTGATCACAAATCTCCAGGAACATCTGCTTCTTCATGCGAAAGTTCAGGACCTACTGCTGTTCATTCCCATGTCCGCATGACAATGTGATCCAACCAATCTGTGCTTGCGGCCCTGCTCCAGAAGCACTGTTATACATAGGGGAAATCTGCGACTAAGGCAAAAGGCATGAGCAGCATCAACTGGTTTGCCGCTGGAATGACAGTACCCCTATTTGCTCTGGCTGCTGGGAGTATACGGACACAAAATGGGTTGGCAGGATGTGTTCATGGGGTAAAACCACCCAAAACACTCTCAATTAACTCCCATGGGACAGACAGACAAGTTCTCCCACAACCCTCTGTGAACCAAGCCCTAGAGCAGGGGTCGGCAACCTATGGCATGCGTGCTGATTTTTAATGGCACGCTGCTGCCTGCCGGGGTCCCGCTCAGCCCGTTGCCGAACCCCGGCAGCAGGCTGAGCCGGACCCCAGCAGGCAGCAGCGTGCCATTAAAAATCCTGCCCGACCTAGCCTGCTCTTCTCCACCCCCCACCTACCGCTCTCTCTGGCAGGGGCAGTGGGCAGACGCAAGCTTGGTCCTGTCGGCTTCTGCTGTACGGCAGGCTCCGCCGGCAGCCAAGCTTCCCCCTCCCCTGCCTCTTCCCCCAGCGTGCTGCATCGAGCCCCATCTCCTCTACCTCCCTCCTGCCGATGGCCCTTGCGAGGGATGGGAGAAGAGCAGTCCCAGCGCCCTCGCTGCTCAAACCGGTAAGGAGGCTGAGAAGAGGCAGGGGGAAGGGGGGTAGGAGCGGGGTGTATCCCTCCAGCCCCCTGCTGTGAGCCGCTCAGGGGGCAGGGGGCTGGGAGCACCCCCCGATCCCAGCCCACCCCTCTGCCCTGACCCCTGCACCCCCCTTGCACCCCATCCCTGATTCCTGCACCCTCCACACATACCCAGCCCCCTTACAGCCCATGCCCTGACTCCTGCACCCCCTAACACGCCCCCAGCCCTCTGCCCTGACCCCTGCACCCCCCTTGCACCCCAGCTCCCTGCATCCCCCCACGACCCCATCCCTGACTCCTGCACCCTCCACACATATCCAGCCCCCCACACCCTCTGCCCTGACTCCTGCACCCCCTCACATGCCCCCAGCCCTGACTTCTGCACCCTCCACACATACCCAGCCCCCCCCACATCCCCTTGGCCTGACTCCTGCACTCCCCACACATCCCCAGCCCCCCACCCCCCATGCCCTGACTCTTGCAACCCCCACATCCCCCCCCCCCACCCTGAGCACCAGGTTGGCAGCGGGCTGAGCGGGGCCGGCGGCTGGGACCCCAGCTGGCAAGGGACCGGCAGCCAGAACCCCAGACCGGCAGCGGGCTGAGTGGGGCCAGCAGCCGGGACCCAGGCTGGCAGGAGCCAGCGGACGGAACCCCAGACCAGCAGCAGGCTGAGCCGCTCGGCCTACTGCTGGTCTGGGGTGCCGGCCCCGCTCAGCCTGCCGCCGGTCTGGGGTCCCGGCCCCGCTCAGCCTGCTGCCGGTCTGGGGTTCTGGCTGCCGGCCCGGGGTTCTGGCTGCCTGCCCCTTGCCAGCTGGGGTCCCAGCCGCCGGCTCCGCTCAGCCCACTGCCGGCCTAGGTGGACGGAACCCCAGGCCGGCAGCGGGCTGAGCAGGCCGGCGGCTTAAGATCAGCATTTTAATTTAATTGTAAATGAAGCTTCTTAAACATTTTGAAAACCTTGTTTACTTTACATACAACAGTAGTTTAGTTATATTATATATAGACTTCTAGAGAGAGACCTTCTAAAAAAATGTTAAAATGTATTACCGGCATGCGAAACCGTAAATTAAAGTGAATAAATGAAGACTCGGCACACCACTTCTGAAAGGTTGCTGACCCCTGCTCTAGAGCAACTACAGCTGGCAAGAGTGCAATAGCCCACAAACCCACAAGCTGAAGTTGTGACTTGGGTCTGCTTATTGTAGTATGGATGCGCCAGCATGGCTGTGAGGCCTGCGTTTCCAATGCATTGTGGATGTTCAAGGGCAGACATGGAAATGCCAAATCTGCAGGCATGGGTCACACAGGTCTGGGCTTAGTGTGCTGTGTAGATGTACCCATAATGTCTCAGCCAGTGTTTCCCTAAAATAAGTCATTAGGGGGTGGACTAAGGAAGCTCCTAGTTGATAATTGGTAATTAAACTTTTAACATTTTAAAATCTACACACTGAAAACATCACCCTTCTGTGAAAAGAGTGTAAAAGAGCAAACTGTCATTTTGAAGAAACTGTTCAAATCCAAAATCATCTCTTCTGCTCATTTAATCTTGCTCTGCTAAAATCCCATTGGATATCACATCCCACCGAGAACATGTTTCTGATTAAACGGATGTCTTAGCTGAACACTTGACAGTCTGTCCTGCCCAAGATTTATTCCTCAGGATGGCAATCGGGGGAGAGCCTGGCCCTTTGCATCCTGACTTTGATCTTATCTGATATATCCATTCCCTGGAGGTTGTGCTACTCTTTTTTCCATATCCCTGCACCTAAAATTTGGTCAAAATTCCCATGATGCGACTGCCCAAGAATATCCCCTTTACTATATGTAAAATTTTTATAAACATTTTGAATGCAGGAGGATGTGTAAAAGACCAGACAAAACGTGAATACCACATTGTTTAGCAGCAGTCACTAGATTGGGTTTATCTTCCTATTCACAGCAGAACTATTATAGTACAGATATATTGAAATATGCTTAACTTTGCTGTTTGTTTCAGGGGTGAGACACAAATTATGTTGCTAATGGGGCTAGTAGGTGAAGAAACAAAATGGATGGCTGCGGGTGGGTAAAATAATTTCTCATTGGCAGAAAGTGCTAACAATAGGCTAAAGGAAAGCTGAAGGGTGGGAAAAAATGCACGATACATTCGCTATCTGTATTTACATGAATGATTCACAGGGAACTGAATTTTATCCTTTACAGAATAAAGTGGAAGGTCTTCGGGAGAATCTTTATTTTCTCTCTAAAGAGAATCTTTCAACAATGCTGGAACTCATTCTGGAACACACAGAAGATTTTACTGATTCTGCCTACACCAGCCATGAGCACAGAGAACGCATCTTGGAACAGTCCAAGCAGGCTAAAATGGAACTAGAGCAGCTGGTTTCAGTGTGGATGCAAGCTGTAAGAGCTTTTTAGCAAAGTAAATCGTTTCATCTATACTTTGGAAAGAAAAATATGTTTTTTAGACTCTCTTTTTTGGTTTAAGAAAACAGAATGTATATAATATATCAAAAAGCAGTTCATTATAACGACCTCTACCCCAGTCCTCTACATCGCTCTTGCAGACTTGAGGATATTTTAGTTTTCCATTGTTTTAGTCCTTCTCTGCCCCCATAATGCTCTGAATTCTGGCCACCATTCTTGTGGTGAACAATTGCATGGCATTCTTTTCAGAGCCAGTTCTTGCTCCTTACTTGATTAAAAGAATTACTGTTGAGTAATGAGATAATTATTTTCTCTCTTCCAAAAAAAGAGAGTATCAGCTTTTTAATTAAAAACAAAAGTAGTAGCCAGTGGAATATTTTAAATTAAAATATACTAATGGAACACTTAGTCATGTGTCCTACTTTTCCAATATTTTTAGTGTTCAAAAATAATTTGTTCCTTGTGGAGGTTTTAAATTGGTATAGGCGGTCAGTTTTGTTTCACTGAAACTCAGTGTACAGGCTAATCCAGAACATTCAAAACTTTTGAAAGCTAAATTCCCTTTCAGGAATATGAAAACAATTGTGCAGCCCTATCAGCCCCCCGATGTAATGTTGAAAGTCTACTCAGAATGAGTGTCCGCTCAAATGGGCAGACATCACACTCATATTTGGGTCACATTTTCAAGGTTTTCTTCCTAATTTTAACAGGTAGAAACTGATGTTTTTAATGGAAGCTGAGGCTCTGGAGAATAATTGAGAGGCCTGGGTTCTCCCCAGTTGACTCCTCTGTGCTTTCCCAGGCAGAGTGTCCCACACTTTGGAAAATATTGAGTTAATGTGTAGTCCAGTTAGAAACCTTACTTACTGTTTACTTTTTAAAAAAAAATTATGGACTGATATTTAAAGCTTTTGAACAAGGATCATATGTGACTCATACTCAGATCATATGTGACTCATGTCGAAGAATACACAAGCAACATTACAGAAAGAGAGTCACTAGTAACGTAACTGTCTATCAAGTACTTTATCTTATACACAGAATTCTTGAGTCTGGAACTAACTGATGATTATCATGCCCACAAATGCTACAAAAGTAGCTAATTGGCTAAACATATTGGTTCCTCCTAAACTCTTCCTATATAATCTGGTAACTGCAACACAGCCCCAGTGTTGCTGCTTTTGTGCCACGTGGACCAGCTCTTCACAGCAGCTTTGCTCTGAGTTTGAGGATATAATTTGTAGACTTGGGTTTTGATGACAAACCTGTCTTCCTTATTGTTCTTCTCTTTCTTACCTCCTCCCCAGTAGCAGTATGTACTAGCTGTGGAATGCAAGCATAGTATATTTTCCAAAGATGGCTGTGTGTGACCATCCATTATTGGAGATGAGTGACCATTTGGGTCCCTGCAGCAAGTGGAGCACTGTCCATTGCAAAGATGGACAAAGGTGCTTGCTGTAGGGAATACAGCCTGACATCCTCTCTGTATTTGTGATCTTGCTAAGCCATCAAACCCAACACTCATAACCTCCACCCTGGTCCTGAGTCTGGTAGTTCTTCATTCTACACCGGAAACCCCAGCTCCCAGTACGGTCCTCTCTGGGTGCTTGTCTGCCCAAAGATGTTCATTTTTCTTAATGAGATGCTGCTCCCATGGCTATGTTGCAATCATTGACCCTCTCATTATTGTTTCTATGGGAACTGTGATTGGGAAGAGCCCTCACTGGTGACGTTTATTCCCTGCCTGCTGCCACCCTTTCTTGTGACTCCATAGGCTTCAGACAATAGGTCCCCGCCTCCTCAAATGGGTGTAACCCATCTGAATGCACTCTGTCCTCTTCAGGATGTCCTCCCAGAAAAAGGGTCTTGAAAGAGATATGAGCCTCTGAAGGGGAATCTTAAAGGTCCCATATGCTGAGGAAGGAGAGGCCTCATTCCTCTGTCTCCTGTCCGGAGATTCAGAGTCTGCAGCCCAAAGTTCTTAGTTGTTCCTGTTCTTACTTCAATAGTAGTGGAGTTTAATGAGCTTATAAGTTCCTTAATCACTTGCTGATAGTCAAGGAGTTTAATTGTCTCATATGAATCAATTAGGTGTTGAGGAGACAGCCTGCTCCTGAGAAGACTTGCCTAATAAGGATGCTTTTAAAAGGAAAAATATGAAAAGGGATTTTTCCATCTTCTGTCAATGTTATTAGGAAACATTATTAATTCTGAATGGTAGATCCCTGCTAAAATGGTATGTTAGCAATATCCGCCACAGGCCATGCTTAATGCCTGAAATGGATGCCACTGTTGGCTCTTTCCCTTTTAAGGCACAGTATGTGCAGCTCTGTGAGTAGCCATTTCCTGCTTTATTTCTCCTCCAGTTTCTCTCCTGAAGAGTTACTGCCCTGTACAGTCCTGTAGGGAGAACTCTAGGACTCATGAAGAGGGTATATGTTTACTAAAAGTACTCTGCAGAACTGCTTGTGACATTAAAAGATTTTCATTTAGCTCCCTCCTTTGTCATAGCTAAGAGACAGATCTGGCTGCTGTCCAGCATACCACACTGTCCCTTAAAACCAGCAGTCCCAGGTACTGTTTAATAGTAACTATATGTTCAACAAAGCCCTTGATACCAGAGGTTCTTAAGAGAGTCACAGACCTTTCAGGAATCTTCAACTGTTCTTCCTTCCTTAAACTCTGCATTAGATTTTAAAAAATCCCCAAACCGTAATCTTTGATATTACTTGTGATTCAGCAAGGTTGTCATCTTGTTTCTTCTGCACTGTGGTAGCTAGGAGACATATTAGGCTACTGTCCATTTCTAGAACCCACCTGATTCAGGAGCCCAGGCACTGGAGCTAGGGCCATGGTGTAGATTAGGTATACAGATTTATAATTCAGTTAATTGGGTTGTTTGAGGGCTTATGCTGTACCTCTAATACTTTTCTTGTTCCAGGCAACAGCTGAGAGTTGGCAGTTCTTTTGCTGGCAGTAGTCAGTTGAGCCACAGATCTGGGTAAGCTCTCTGGGCCTCAGGAAAAGGCAGGTTTAAATGCCTCTGTCCTGGGGCAACAGCATAAAAGATTTTTTCTTTCCCCTATTGCTTCATATTTAAAGTCCTCTTGCAGGTGCTTCTGGGGAATCCTAAGCAAGATAAAGCTTTACTAGCACTCTACTAGTAGTCACTAAAGCCTGACAGCAGTTTAGAAAGCTTCAGTTCCTAAGCTTTTATTTGTACAGGACAAAGATGCTTTGTCTATCCTACAGAAGGGATATTTCTTAGACTTTCTCCCTCAGTCTCCATTCTTCCTCTTGACTCCAGTAAGGGATGGCTTTATGGGGTTCAGTTTAATGGATTTTGCATTTAGGATCCATTGTATATCTGGGCAGAAGGGACTCGGGTCCTGTGTCTGACAGTACTGATTTCCCATAAAATATGGGAGATATAGTACATTCCGTCCTGTATTTGCCCCTTTCAGGGCTGGATTAAGGCATGTGCTTTCTAGGCCCTTACTCCAGATCATGGCATCACATGATGAGATCAGAATCTCTCCTCTTTTTTTTTTTTTTTTTTTTGTTTTTGTTTTTTTGTTTTAAAGTTCTTTGAGTACTTGCTCATGTCAGTTCCATTTTAGGTGTGTGCGTGCACAGTTGCCGGAGATTTCTACCTTAGCAGTATTCTTAGGGCCAGCTGTGGCAGCCTCTGGAGTAGCGCTCCCATGCGGGGGTATATCAGGTGCTGCTGGCCCTGCGCCCTCTCAGTTCCTTCTTACTGCCCATGGTGGTTAGTCCGAGTGCCTTTCCTTGCATAGCAAAGGCTAGCGGTTTCTTCTTGTCCACAATGGACTTCATGCCTTAGAGCGTTTTGTAAATAGTTTGTTGATAGTGTTGCCTAAGTAGCTGTTGAGTATAGTCGTTAGTTAGCAGTTAGAGTCCCGTCTGGGACTTCACCCTAGGCGGGGCATGCCCCACTCGCCCGGCTTTAAGTCGTGTTTGACATGCAGCAGACCGATGTCGATCAGTGATCCACACGACAGTTGTCTCAAGTATCTGGGAGAAAGCCCGAGGAAGGACAAGTGTCATATTTGTAAAAACTTTCGCCCTTGTACCCAGAAGGAGCGGGATATCCACTTGAGGGCTCTCCTAATGAAATCCGCTCTTTGTCCTGCACTGGAGTCCACCATGGCTGACCGTGTGCTGAGTGGATCAGCTTTGGTGCGGAGCACGCCACTAGCACTGAACTCAGCCCAGCACCGCTCCCCTTCACTGGTGCCCAGGAAGCAGCTGAGGAAGTGGGGCCCTTCGGTGCCGAAGGACCGAGGGCCTACAGGCAAAGGACCTATGTCAGCCCATGTGCCCGCTTTGAGGCTTCAAGGGGGTATTGCGGTGGTCAGGGACCCTCCCCCCACACCGGGCAGTGGCAGGAGCTCCCAGCCTACAGTGGGGCCTTCAGGGCCCAAAGCGGTTCCGGCGGCTAAAAAGCAAAGCTGACTGGCTCCACAGGTGCCACGCTAGGGCAAGTCCACTGGAGTGCAGCAGCATAGACTCGTGGAACAGCCTCGGGCACCGGATCGCAGTCGCAGGTCTCCTTCGCCACGACCTCGGTCCCTGCCTCAGCTCACCGGCCAGAAGGCCTACGTTCCAAATGAGATCCACGCTGACCAGGCTCTTGTAATGACTTTAATGTGTCTGGAGCATCTTTCCTCTCTCCAGCTCATAGCCCTCAAATTCTCTCCTCTTGCAGGGCTTGCTTTCCCTGGGCTAAGTGACACACATCCCTCTCCTGGGAAGTTCCTGACAAATTTCTGCTACTATTGAGTTCCTCTCTGATCTCCAGATCCTTTCTATTGCCTATGATCTGAGACAGAGCCCTCCTATGTCCATAGCCCTCAAACATTAGCCCAAACTTTGACATGTAAATTAGTTTTTGTATTAGTTAGTTTAATCATAGTTAGAAAGGATCACTTGCCATTTGCACTGGCCATACCACA